GTTGAATGCACCAACAGTCAAATAAACCCTGAGAAAAAAAGAAATTTGGAACAAACGTCAGCTAATTGTATACTATCGTCCATTGGGATCTAAAAATACATCCGTTGTAAGACATGTTATATTTTTGCGGGAAAAAAGGGAAACTCCTCTAGTTTCTTTATTAAATGTAGAGTGATACTGAGTAGAAAAATCCTGCGCCAAAGTGGCTAGGACATGAACTGATTTATAATGGGTCTCCTGGATGAATACAATTTCTGGTTTAATTTTTACAGTCTCTTTAAATAATTGAATAGAAGGTTATGTTATACCTAGTGTATACACAGAGGAGAGGGAGTCTAACTAACACTGAGTCGCTCACACTGGAAACAGAATAGGGGTTCACGAAAACCTATAGACAATGACAGAAGAACAACACTCTAAGAGATAGTGCATTGAAACCAGGAGCTGACTTGTGATAATGGCTTAATAATAAAAATAATAGCTTAACGTTTTATTATTAAGCCATTATCACGAGTCAGCTCCTGGTTTCAATGCACTCTCTCTTTAAATAATACTCTACGTTTATGCGGAGTGTTCAGACCCCTCACATTGAGTGATATAAATTTAAGAACCATCATTAACGTTCAAATAGGGAAAACAAGAACTGTAAAATAATTTGGTGAAAGGTTCAGCGCACGAGTTTAAAAGATCATTTGTATACATTTAAGATGTTAAAAGTATTAACCCCTTCAGGACGGGTGACGGACGAGGTCCGTCACACAGGGGAGACCCTTAACGACAGGTGACGGACCTCGTCCGTCACGCGGTAAAATTAACCCCGGATCGCCGCTATCGCGGCGATCGCGGGGTTAATGGTGCTCCCGGTATGCCTCTGCATTAGAGGCATACCGGGAGCACCCGGTCAGTCTGCCCAGCACATGTGCTCGCTCTGACCGCAAGTCAGAGCGAGCACATGTGCTCTGTATACACACCTACCGGCTCCCTGCACTTCCGGGTTCTGTGTGAAGTGCAGGGAGCCGGATCAGTGCTGATCCTGCCACCTGCTGGAAAAAAAAATAAAGTTTATTTAAAGTCCCCCCCCCCCTTACCCATTTTAATAAAAAATTAACCCATTCCCTGCCAATTGATCACTGACTACAGTGATCAATTGGCAGGGATTACATTTTACTATGATCTGATTTTTTTTTTAACCCCCAGGGGTTAAATTAATTAAATTAATTAATTAAATTATTTTTAATTATATATTTAGATAGCTGGGGTGGGTGGAAGTTAGTGGGGAATTGGGGGATTTGGCGTTAGGCTAACTAGGGGTTAACGTTAAAAAAAAAGTTTTAAAAGAAACTTTAAAAAGTTAAAAATTAAGCTTAAAAAAATGTTTTAATAACATTTAAGTAAAAAAAACAAAAAAAAAACACTTTACCTAGTCCAAATAAAAATTAACCCCTTCCCTGCCAGTCGATCACTGCCTACAGCGATCAAATAGAGATCACAGTATTATACTGTGATCTAATTTTTTTTAACCCCTGAGGATTAACTTTTATTTATTTATTTTTAACCCTCAGGGGTTCAATTTATTTAATTAATTAATTTAAATATTTTATAACTATATATTTTGCTAGCTGGGGTGGGTGGGAGTTATGGGAAAATGGGAATTTACTGTTAGTGCTGCGTACTGCTAGTTAGGGGTTAACGGTAAAAAAAAAAGCTTAGAAAAATGTTAAATCTGTAAAAAAGTTTTAAGAAAGTTTAGGAAAGTTTAAAAAAAATTTATAAGCAAAACAAAAGTTTAAAAACTAGTTTTTAAAAGTAAAAAAGTTATAAAAAGTAAAAAAATACATTTTAAAAACGCTCATTACCACTACACCTGGAACAAACTAGAGAAAAAAATTATCCCACGCCAAGGTTCAAAATATGCCTTTTGAATTACCCCAGGGTGTATTCTTTAATAAATAGTATGTGTTTGTGGGGAAGTTTCAATAACCAACCGTCTAAACTACTCCAAATTGGAACATGGACACAGCGTAAAACTTCAAAGTTAGAAAAAAACTGGCTGCGTCTCAAATGCGCCCCTTCAACATCCACATATACCTGGCAAAGGTACATACGGGGGTATTGCTGTACTCAGCCGACATAGCTGAGCAACATATGAAGTATTATACAGTCATAGTACACATAAGGTTTGCAAAATATGCTGCGCAAACTCACTTTGTATGTCAAAAAGGCAGAAAAAATGCTTATTACCACTACACTTGGTACAAGCTAGCGGAAAAATGATCCCACGCTAAGGTTCAAAATATGCCTTTTGAAATACCCTGGGATGTCTTCTTTAAGAAATGGTATGGCTTTATGGGGAATTTGGATTATATAGCCTGGTAAAATACTCTAAAATGGGACATAGGCACAACATAAAAATTCAAAGTTTGAAAAAAACTGGAATGGCTGTGTCCCAAATGTGCCCCTCCGATGTCCACACATACCTGGCAAAGGTACATACGGGGGTATTGCTGTACTCAGCCGACATAGCTGAGCAACATATGAAGTATTATACAGTCGTAGCACACATAAGGTTTGCAAAATATACTGTGCAAACTCACTTTGTATGTCAAAAGGGCAGAAAAAACGCTTATTACCACTACATCTGGTACAAGCTAGCGGAAAAATGATCCCACGCTAAGGTTCAAACTATACCTTTTGAAACACCCTGGGTTGTCTACTTTAAGAAATGGTAGGCCTTTGTGGGGTAGTTTGAATTTAAAACCTGCGAAGATGCTTGGAAATTGCACATAGGCCCAGCGTCAAAATTCAAAGTTTGGTAAAACGGATATGGCTTGGTCTCCTATATGGCACTGTAGCTTCACGAAATAGTGCCAAAGACATTCATATGGGGTGTCATTTTACTCAGAAGACTTAGCTGAGCATAATTTGGGGGGTTTGAACTTAGTGGCACATATGAAATATACAAAACGCCCAGCAAAAATGCAATCCGTATGTAAAAAATGCACAAAATTATTTTTTACCACATACTTTGGCATATATTGGTGAAAAAATGGGGGCATGTTAAGGCACAATATGCACCTTATAAGATACCCTGGAGTGTCTACTTTTACAAATGGTAGGCCTTTGTGGGGGTTTTTTGAACAGTCAAACTGTTATAATACCCCAAATGGAAGCTAAGGCTCATTAAATCCATCTCTCAAAATTCTACTGTGAATACTGTAAAGGACAGGTCTCCTATATGGCACTGTAGCTTCACGAAATAGTGCCAAAGACATTCATATGGGGTGTCATTTTACTCAGAAGACTTAGCTGAGCATAATTTGGGGGTTTGAACTTAGTGGCACATATGAAATATACAAAACGCCCAGCAAAAATGCAATCCGTATGTAAAAAATGCACAAAATTATTTTTTACCACATACTTTGGCATATATTGGTGAAAAAATGGGGGCATGTTAAGGCACAATATGCACCTTATAAGATACCCTGGAGTGTCTACTTTTACAAATGGTAGGCCTTTGTGGGGGTTTTTGAACAGCCAAACTGTTATAATACCCCAAAATGGAAGCTAAGGCTCATTAAATCCATCTCTCAAAATTCTACTGTGAATACTGAAAAGGACAGGTATCCTGTATGGCACTGTAACTTCACGAAATAGTGCAAAAGACATACAATGGGGGTGTCATTTTACTCAGCAGATGTAACTGAACACAAAATAAAACTTTGTACAGGAATAGCACACACCAACTTTACAAAATATACACGAGAATTTCTCTGTTATAAGTTTGTGTGCCAAAAACCAAAAAGAACACAATTTTACTCCAATATTTAGCAGAGGTTGGCGGTGAAATGGCTACGTATAAAGTGTCAAAACAACCTTAGGTAAATAGCCCGTGATGACAATCAAAAATGCAAGAACAGAGTTCCAACGTGTGACCCAAATATATGCCAAATCACTCTAAAAACACCCGTGTGGTAACCTCTCTATCCACACAACAAATAACATAAAATCATATACATACAAATGGGTGGAATGATGCAATTCAGGGTAAAAGATGGTATCATGTAGGTAAATGAAGTAACTGTGGAGATAAAATCATATACAAGCACCTAGTGCAATGATGTACAATACAATATATGCAAACAGTAAATATGTGATTTAGTACTCACAAAGGAGGAGCCAATAAGTAATGGCTCAATAAGAGTGCCTGTGGGATGATTGGAAGGGATCCCACTCCCTTTCTGGATATCTTTCTGGATATAAATGCTCTTCCAGTGGTGCTAAAAGAAATGTCCACTCCAATAGAATATTGGGGACTAAATTCTTTTAATAGTAGGTAATAAAAAAGTAAAATACAAATATTTAAAAGTAAGTAAGAACTTAACACAGCACTATGATAAGTGCATATAAAGTCCAAACAAATTGCAAAACGCGTTTCGCCCAGATCATGGGCTTCCTCAGTTGCTAGTAATGTCCATAAAGCAATATGGATTTATACCTGTCCAGGAGAATCGTTGTTTCCGGGTTCGCGCCGTTTTTTCACTTCCGGTCGCGTCCTGATGATGTATTTCCGGTCCGCAGGTTGTTAGCTGGGTCGTTGTTGGAACGCATATGCGTTCCACACATTCAACGAACTTTACTCTCTAATTGAATAACAAAAGTCGCGTCCTG